GAGTTTTCTTTACGGGCAAGGCCATGGAATTGAAAACTTCGTCACATAATCCATCAGAACTTAGTAAAAATTCTGGTTTTTTCACATAGCCACAGCCTCCATTGGCTCGAAAAAATCCTTGCATCATCCAAAGGAACCTATCATATCCCTGTTACAAGGAGTAAGTCATATTTTATTAAGGTTCTTTTATTTGAAGGAATTAAAATCGATATGGCAAGTGAGAGTACTTGACCTGCATGTTAAATGCAACCATCTGTGCTCCACGCAGCCATGCAATTAGAGGATCATAGTTTGATGAAGTAAAGCGTGCACCCTTTGGGTACACCCTTAGAATATTTCGCTGTGTAAATCTGAAGTATATATCAAAATATCATTTCATAATACATGGATTATGATTTATGCCTCAACCTTGTGCTCTGAACGCGTTGAGGCGTAGTATACATAAAATGATGAAACAAGTAATAGTAAAGAAAGAGCTAATGGAGCTGAAGTTTATATATTTACCGGATAAGTTGATGGCTATGTTCAGCTACAGCGGCTTCAAGGGCTAGTTCATTCATGCTACAACGTCCAACTTTATCAGAACTTCCATGGCTTCCAAAATTTTCCATACTACCTTTGTGCTTCGTGGCATGGATTGCAATCAAATCTCTATATTTGGGAACTTCGTCTTCGTCTCCCTCCTCTAATTGTATTTGCTGCTGGTACTTTGTAGAACATAAGTAAATAATATTTATAATTTTATAATGGCAAGTGTACAGTAGTTAGGAACCTAAAACTTGAACCAGTTTAACTTTAAAATTCTGAATTCGCCTCTAACTGTACTTATCTTATAGAGAACTTGACAATATAAACTTTTTTACACGGATAATGTACAGAAGTTAAACTCGGAAGAAAGTAAAATTGCAAAACAAAAGCAAGAAAATAATATAGGAAGATATTAAACCTGATTATGATTGTTAAGTCCATTCTCTGAACGTCCTCTCTCTGGTGAAACCTTATTGTCTGATTCCGAAGGGCTATCTTCTGTTGGTGGTTTCGTCGAAATTAAGATTCTCTTCACTAACTGGTTTGGTGAAGGGAACACGTCCATATCTGATTTTGGGATGAACAACATCGACCCAAATGTGCTCTTCACCATCTGCGTTCTTAAGAAGTGAGCAAAAATCTTAGTAAAAACTACTCCCTCCGTCCCAATTTATGTGACAGAGTTAGAATTTTCGTAGTTGACCAAGTAAACGACCTGGAATTTTTTTTGTATGTCTTTTTAAATATGTTAAAGTTGTTAAGTAGTTTCAAAAGCTTCAATGTTCGAACTCTTGGTCAAAGCTTAGAAATTTGAATCCTGAAATTTTAATTGAGTCACATAATTAATATTGAAACAGAGGGAGAAATATAAATGAACATAATGTAGTAATTTAGGTAGATTAAAGGCATTTATAACTTCGAACCAAGAAATGAAATTTTGCAAGTGTTTATAAAGTGAAGTTGATTGTACCTGAGCTACTTTTTCTTGAAGGTGTGGATAAGGATGAAGGTGGTCTTCAAAAGTGAGTATAACAGGATATTCAGAAAATGAGAAGGCATCCTCCTTTATGGCTTTCAAACATTTGATTAGTTTAACAGGTGTTGTTAGTGTCCTGCAATCGCGAATAAAGTTATTCAGTATTTGTATCGATGGGAGAGAACAGAAATTGGGTTAAATTATTTGATCAAATAGTTACCCTCCGTGACGAACATTGATATCATCTTTTGTGATATCAGGCCAAAGGTCCAATTCAATCACTCTAACTCCTTTCTTTAGGGCCTTCTTTATTGGTTCAATACTGCAATCACTACTGAGCTGGTTTCCAGTTAAATATGAGTTATGGCCTGTGTAAATATAATAATGGGCTAATGGAGCATCCATATTTTGGTGGACCTGAAGAATCCAATAAATAAATGAAAGTAATTAAAGGTTAGTTATAAGTAATGAGACGAAAGTGAAGATAAAAAACAAAAATCGAGTATCTATATAAGATCAAAACTGAAATAATTATTTTTAATACCTTAGACTGATGAGCAAAGTTATGTTCACCAACAAGAAATTTAAAGAAAGCTTCAAGAGTCAATCCCCTTCTATGAAACTTGTTTAGATGTTTGAGGCTATTGAATACATTTTGGGCCTTTGTGTTAACATTGATCACTTCATTCTGTTCTTTCTTCAGAAAACTAATTAAACCATCCATACTCATAGTATCATTCATTGAGTATGATTCAAATACTTTTTTAATATCTTCTGGAATTTCACCTCCCCTCACTTTGAATACTCTTGACCAGCAAAAGCAAACCTGGAAATGTTGCTTACCATTAGACATTATTATTTTTCTCAACTGGTGCAAAGCAATTCCAATTTTTTATCGTATCAAACTTTGTTTAATGTTCAATTTATATGTGGGAAAACGTTCGGTTTCCATATTCTGGGAATTGCTTAGGAATATAATTTCTCTGTTTCAGAAAGAATATATTATGCCTACACGAAAAGTGATGCTTGTAAATTGTAACTTTCACAAATTTAAGTACATTGAACAGAGTTAACTTTTTTTGATTGGGATAGGTAAAGAAAATCCTGTAGGTGAAACATGATATTTTTTATCAATAACTTTTTAAAAAATAAGTGCATTAGAATTCGAACTTGTACAACTTTTGAGCTTACCTTTACCGATGAATTAAGATTGTAATTAATGACGAAGGGATCCAACAATAAAATTCAAAAAACGTATATACGTTAATTTTAATCTATTTCCATAATACAATCATTTGTTGAGGGTAGGACGGACCAAAAAAGGTAGGAACAAGGTTTGCGTATACCTCATCCTCTCCAAACCCAACCCATAGAATTTCATTGTGTATGTTGTTGTAGTATCGTTTAGAGGAAGGGAATTCAATTGTAGTCCCACGGATAACTTTGCCCCGAAGACATTTTCATCAAACATTCCCAACAGGTTGTAGTCACATAACATGTGATTCATGTCCTCTACTTGACTGTACCTGATGGAGTTGGAATAATACATATGGTAAATGGACATAAATTCCAAGTTCAATAAGTTGGTTTACTATTGCAATAACATAATACTTTGCTTTCTTTCTCTCCAAGTGTGTGATCCAAGTACATTTCGAATTAAGGATTGATAACAAAAAGACCGTCAACAATGAGCATGTTGCTTGCATCTTTCAGCATCTGTTGTGCAGGTTGAATGCTTTATTAAGGCATTCGGTAGTCTTCTCAAAAACAAGGCCAAACATGTGTGTTTACATTAAATTCACGTAGAGAAGGTCTGATATATGTATTTTAATCAGATTAGATAACAAATTCCTAAGGAGGAACACAAATGTTGGTTCTTCATTCCGTTTATAATCTAGGCAGTGCATAGACTAGTGTTTTTATTTCATACCATAACAAACACCTTTGACTGGTTTAATCCATCCAGTGAACACCACCCATCTTATGTCACACCATAACAGACACCTTTGACTAATCGACATCGGCTCTAGAAAAAGTTGCTTATATCAAACTAACACTAGTCTTTGTTTCATGAGAATTATAGATAATTACCCTGGAAAACCTTCTGTTTCACTTCAGTGCTCAGAGTATTGAAATAACCTCTTACTTGGATAGTTTCGGAATATGAAGTCCAACACTGGTTAAAGTTAAAAATTCATTAAGATCATCACTCCACTCATGTCAAAATTTTGGATCAGATGCTAGTTACTAGGATTCTTGCTCTGACACAAAGAAGTTACTGGGTTTCTACTTTCTATGAGTAAAAATCAAAATGAGGTACTTGCTCCAATAATTTAAAGTACTAGTTGGTGGAACCACCTGCGATTATCTTTCTACTCAAATGATTATCTTTCTGCTCAAATATACTTTTTAACCTACTTGCATTACTGTGCTAGTCTTCTCTATTTGCTAGTACAATTTTTTGCATGTCTCAAAGGGACAACATAAGGAGGACAGGACAGTGCCCCTTGTGTGTCAATGGGACACATTTCATGTCCCTAGCAAAATATTGCTCTTCAATTAAAAGAACTAGAATAGTAATCAAGAAGTAGAAGAGAAAATAAAACAATCCGTGCATGTCCCAAAACTGAGGGTGAACATATAGCATTTTTATTCAAGAAAATCCATAATTTTAAAAGGCTAAATGGCTCTCCTTGAGCATAGTTAGCTATGCTGCAAATTCATTTTGAAACAAATTGAGCATCATGATGTAGCTTAAGGCCAGTCAACAACCTAGCCGTGGATACAGCATAATCAGGATACAAGAAATTCACAAACAGTGCAGACATTTTCACAGCAGAGAAATTTTTTGGTGCAGAAATTGATTGTAGATCTGGTTAACAATCCCAAACCACAGCCGGATATTGGCGTAAACAAACACACTCGTATCCCTAACATATAAGCTATTTCTTTCACGACAATAGATCATTAGAATTTCCCAAAGAAAGAAACAAGCTTTGTCACGGCTACGATAATCAGAGTCATCACTAGTATACAAACTAGAATACTAGTAATAGCAACCCGATTTCTTTCGCTAGAGAATCAAATGCAAGAAGCTTTGACAAGTGAATGACGAAACAACACCAAGATGAATAGGACAAGGATCCCTATAAAATTCACAGATAAACTTCAACACACCAGGAATAGACCCAGGGTGCATTTGGAATCAGCACAGTGAATCTGCTTCTACAAGCAGTAAATAATGAAAGGCAAGTCCCATCATATTGGTACAGACACTAGCTCAAAAAACTAAAATCAGGTGTAATCCAACTAAAACTAGTTGAAAGTTGCACTATATGAACTTTCATCTCCTCTCCAATCGATTTGACTGAAAAACGAGTTCAATGTAATACCATAAACCACGAGGGAGGCTAGTGTGATAGAGCAGAATGTTGGGGTGGGTGGGGGAAATCAAACTTGTATTATTAACATGTGCATCCTCAGAAAAATTCATTCATAAACAAGGTAAACAGTAGAAAATTGAATATCGAAATGCATATAACTGAATTGATCTAATCATCCCATTCCAATGGTTTATAACAACTGGCCATAAAATAAAAAACTAAAATATACGAAGGAGCATATTCCCAGAGAGTATGACATGCTCTGATCCAAGAACAAGATAAAGACATTCTAAAACTTACAACCATCATCACTCAGAACGATTGGCATACCTCTCCACCTTTTCATCAAGATTGATTCCAACCATAGCCTCACCAAGCCCACAGCTAATTTCAGCCAGCAATTGTGGGTCACTGTAATGAGTCACTGCTTGCACGATGGCACGTCCCCTCTTTGCAGGGTCACCACTCTTGAAGATACCAGAACCCACGAACACGCCGTCACATCCCAACTGCATCATAAGCGCTGCATCTGCTGGTGTCGCCACCCCACCTGCTGCAAAGTGAACCACAGGGAGCCTACCAAGTTGCTTTGTTTGCATCACCAGATCGTATGGTGCCTGAATCTTCTTAGCAAAGGTGAAAACCTCATCATCGTCCATGTTGCGCAGCACCCTGATATCACCCATAACGGAACGCACATGACGAACAGCCTCGATAATGTTTCCGGTACCAGCTTCCCCCTTGGTCCGAATCATGGCAGCACCCTCACGGATACGGCGAAGAGCCTCACCCAAATTACGGCAGCCACAGACAAAGGGGATACGGAAATTGTGCTTGTTGATGTGGTTCTCATCGTCAGCAAGGGTAAGCACCTCCGATTCATCAACGTAATCGATTCCAATAGCCTCAAGGATTTGAGCCTCCACGAAATGACCAATACGAGCCTTGGCCATAACAGGAATTGTCACAGCCTGTTTGATTTCTTTGATAAGCTGGGGATCCGACATACGTGCAACGCCGCCCTGAGCGCGTATATCAGCAGGGACACGCTCAAGAGCCATGACAGCACACGCACCGGCCTCCTCGGCTATACGAGCCTGTTCAGCATTAACAACGTCCATGATAACGCCTCCCCGAAGCATCTGAGCGAGACCCACTTTCACAGAGAAGGGGGATTGCTTGGTTGTCTCTGTGAGAGCACCATTTCCGTAAACTGTAACGACACCACTTCCGGCCATAACTGAATTCTCTGTGTAACAGAGAGAAGAGAGAAAAAGGAGAAATGAGAAGATAGGGAAGAAAAGGCGGTGGAGGAGAATTGGGATTTTGTTTCTAAGGATCTCTACTTTTTTATAGGAATATAACAACTACTACTCTTCTTTATTACTAAAAAAAAATATATATATTTAATTCATACAAAATCTGAATTATTTATATGTAGGGCCAGTAGGAATTTATTTTCCGTCATTAGATCCCGTTGTTTTTATAATTAGTTAAGATTCATTTTGGGTGAACGAATATACATAAATGATGAATATGTTAGTGAATAGTTCAAATACATAATTTTAACCAATTGTTTTTCATTTATTAATATGAGTTATTAGTTATTAAAATTATATTTCTTTTTAAAAATTATTATCCGGTAATACTTTAACTGATAATTCAATAGAAAATTGATAAATTATGTTTACATCATTTGATATATAAAGTTTGTGATGTTGTTGAAAACTTTTGAATATTATACAATGTGTTAATGTTTTTTCTAAGGAAGAAATGATCTGTCAACTCATGTACATGATTCATTTAATTTGTCTTTTTGTGTCTGTATGTGTGTAAAATAAAAATTTTAACGACTAAATCGATAACAATCAATAGCTGATACTAATAGATAAGCTAATATTTCAACGTTTTTATAATAATTTAGCATGTATACAAATCAATAATCAATACGTCTGATCGATAAGTTTTTAAATCAAATTAGTCAATATGCAGTCCCTGTGAAAGCGATTTAAAAGACAAAAATAATTAAAACATATATAATTAAAGCTTAATACATTATTAATCATAACTTTTTTAGCAAATATAATTTAAACTGATGAAGAATGTTACTCATTTCAATTAAGCATCTGAATAGATAATATAATATTCTTTTTCAATATTTTAAATCAAAATTTAATTTTTGTATACATATTCTCAAATATTACTAGGGAAAAGGGTCTGATATACCCCTNAACTTTGTCATTTGGAGCTAATACACCCCCGTTATAAA